GGTACGGTACATCGCCTCAGATTGCAACCTCGCCGACCTCTTTACCAAGGCTCTCGGCAAGGCTGACCACCATCGCCTTCTCCGTTCCATGGGGCTTTGTGCTCTTTGACCGGGTTTGCAGTCTATGGGGGTGTGTTAGAAATAGACTGCAAATACCACTTTTGTATTTGTACTTTTATATCCTACTTTAGGTTGTGAATGTTCTAGTGGGTTGGGGTGTACTCACAAATCCCAACCTCACCCAATTGTGATCCCCACAATCTCCAATTACCCAATTGGAGATTCCGGAGATCCCAATGGGGATTCCCTCCAATTCCCCCTTCATCCATTCTCTCTCACCTTGCCATGTACTTATAGAGCCTTGGGCTCCTTACCTAATCAATCATTTCAACTCTATTTCTTACAATGCATTGGTGGCAGTTCAATGGTAGTGACTGCCCTCACCTCGCCAAGCTTGCTTGAAGAGTCCTCAAACAATGTGTCTCTGCATCCACATGCGAGACCAACTGGTCCGCTTGGGAATCGGTCCATGTCGTGCGCCGCAATCATCTTGGGCCGAAACGACTCACGGACCTAGTCTATGTCACGAGCAACTACAAAACGGTGTGTAAGTTGCATGCGGATTTTGTGAAGAACTTGATGGTCAGTGGCACCATAGTAACTCTGGGGGAGCTCAATGATTACGAGCCCTTGGATGACAACGAATTGGATGATTGTTGCTATGTTGACGCGCAGGATGATGTTGACGCGCGGCGAGCTGGCTGGCTAGCTGGTGGGGGGGCGAGCTGGCTGGCTAGCGGGTGGCGCGGCGAGCTGGCTGGCTAGCGGGTTGTGCGGCGAGCTTCTGCCCTTTCTATGTTGCGGCGAGCAGGCGGGCCGGCGTGGCGAGCTTGCGAGCTAGCGGCTGGCACCCAAGTAGGCTGGCAATGAGCTGAAAGTGAGCGGCGAGCGGCGGGTTAGTGGGGAGCGGATGGCTAGATGCGGGCGCGAGCTGGCGGCAGGATTCGGCATTCAGAGAGCAACAGGCCACATGCTGGCGGTAGGCAATGCGCGCCTCCTGATTTCTAGGCTTCCCTAATGGGTTCAGAGGTACGCACCTCGGGCAGTTTCTCTTCTTCACGCCCGATTTCCTTTGGCGCACGGTACGTGGTGGCTGTGATTCAGCTTGCTGGGGTGTGGTGGTCCGTCCTCTGCTCTGCATGTTCTGCCCATTTTTTACATCGATGTCCACATTTTCCCATGCTTGTTCCGCAGTCGATTTTACAGAATACTCCCGTACTAATCCTGACAACCATATTGTGTTCCTGTTCACTCTCACACAGCACCAGCATCCCTGTCTCGAGTTGCCAAGTCCCCTCCCCCCATCGCGTTGTGTATTTGGGCGGCGTCTCATTGTGACGTGCAGCTTCTCCCTATTTTGCGCTCTCTACTTCTTGATTTTTTTGCTCCTGTGACGAGTCGGTTACTTGTGTTGGCTGCCTTCCCCACTCCTTGCTCGTTGCCTGCATGCACTGTGCGGGGCGGACCCAACAATTTTTCCTCCTCTTGGCTGGCTGGTTTGGGCTTTGGTTTGGTTCGGCAGCTCTGTGGGTTCTGATTGGTTGCGTTTTTCAGTGAAACGTATTTTTATTCGTCATGTTTTTCCTCCAACGCCATTTCCAGGTTCCCTGGTTGTTCCCTTTCTCCCAAGCCCTTTTCCCTTGTTTCCCCCCTCCCCCTCCCCCCAGGTACTATCTGTTAGAATATACCATGCTATGCTAGTTGTGTATTTTGTTTTTAAATCCCTAGTTCGGTGTACACCTGTGTTGGGGTGTCAATCCAACCCAATTGTGGTTGGAGCCCCCAAACACAAGGACCACAATTGTGGGGGCACCACAAGTGGGTTGCTTAAGCCACTTGTGGTCCACCATACTTGGACCACCTCCCACGTGTGGTCAACCACATTTGGAAGGATCCTCCCTCCCTTGTGATTGGTCCTAACTCCCCCTTCCCTTCCAACCTTCCCTTCCTAGCTCATCTCTCTCTTCCTATGTAATGACTTTGCTTCATCAATAAACTGAACCTTTCTGTTTCTAACACCATCAGGTTTCTAAAGGTTAAACAACTTGGGCTGTAGGTTTTAAAGCCGCCATCTATATTTACTGTAAAAGCCCAGATAGAAGACCCGCAAAATTGAAGACCCTGGGTCTTCTACTAGGGGTCTATGTTGAAGGAATTCCCATTTATAAGACACCAACAAGGCGGGATGAGGTAAGACTCCCCCCCCCCCCCCCCCAGCTTTGGTGGTTTTTCTTCCCCTAGAGCAAAAAGTGAGTTTTGCAGAAACAAGTTGGTTGACTAAGGCAATGAACGGTTGGGATAAAGCCCGAGCGGGATACTGTGGCAAGCATTCGCATCAGCATTACACAGGTTTACCATCGCAATTGACTTCCGCAAATTCCCCCCTTCCATTGAATTATCTTTATCAGATTACTTGGCATATGTTTGAGTTAACCTCGTGGAGCCTACGCCCAAAAGACCCATGGGTCTTCTATCTGGGCTTTTACGGTAGGTCTTAGTGGCCCAAATGCTGTTAGGGCTAGGCTGGCGAAGGGGTTTTGTGCAGGCGAGCAACATAGGATTCGCCAAGTTCGCCGAATGGAAGGTGGGAATCGGGCAGAAAGGGGGGGAGGGGGGGGGTGGGGAGGTAATTAGGAGGCCAGAGGTAGAGGGCAATTGCAGAGGCACAGATGAGACAATTGAGATCACAAAGGCGGGGGCGTTGTGTTAGAAACATAAATGTTGAGTTTCTTGATCAAGCAAAGGGATTACATAGGAAGAGAGAGATGAGCTAGGAAGGGAAGGTTGGAAGGGAAGGGGGGGTTAGGACCAATCACAAGGGAGGGAGGATCCTTCCCAGTGTGGTTGACCACAATTGTGGTCCTTGTGTTTGGGGGCTCCAACCACAATTGGGTTGGATTGACACCGCAACACAGGTGTACACCCAACTAGGGATGTAAACACAATATACAAAACTAGCATAGCATGGTATATTCTAACACAACCCCATAGCATGCAAAGCTAGTGTATATCTAGGGTACAACCCCAGAATCAAGAAGGGGGGAGTGCGCGGTCTTCGGGAGGGCCTTGGTAAAGATGTCCGCCAAGTTGGCCTCTGCAGCAATCTTGCGGACCACCAAGTGACCATGCTGGACCAACTCCCGAACGAAGAAGTAGCGGAGTTCAATGTGCTTGGAGCGGCCATGGAAGACAGGGTCCTTTGTGAGATGGATGGTGCTGGCGTTGTCGCACCAGAGGGTGGGACAGCGCTGAGGAGCACCGATCTCAGCAAGGAGAAAGGTGAGCCAGCGAGCCTCCTGAGCGGCCATGGTGCAAGCATAGAGCTCAGCCTCGCAGGATGAGAGGGCGATGGAGGAGGAGCGAGTGGAGCGCCAGCTGATGAGGCCGCTGCCAAGGGTGAAGCCGTAGCCTTGAGAGGAGCGGCAATCCGGCTGGGAGTCAGCCCAGGAGGGATCACTGAAGCCAGAGAGGAGGGGAGGAGAAGAGCCTCCGAGGGTGAGGACATAGTCCTTGGTACCACGGAGGTCGCTGAGTACCCGCTTCGCTGCAGCCCAATGCTCATCGGTGTGACGACCGGTACGGACGAAGCGAGCAAGAACGCTGATGGGGTAGGCAAGGTCGGGGCGGGTGCACATCATAGCGTACATCAGTGAGCCGACGAGCTCAGCGTAAGGATGGTCAGAGGAGGAGGGAGCAGGAGGAGGGGCAAGCTGGTGGTCAGTCTGCAGGGGAGTGGTAACCGGCTTGGCCTGCGCCATGTCGAACCGCTGCAAGACTTGGTCGATGTAGAAGGACTGAGAGAGGGTAATGGTGCGCGATGCGCGGTCCTGGGTGATGGTCATGCCCAGATAGTGCTTGAGCTCACCCAGGTCCTTGCACTTGAGGCGCGCATGCAGGGCGTCCTGCACTTGCTGCATGGCGGCAGCATCGTCAACGAACAGGATCATGTCGTCGACATACACCAGGATGAAGAAGCGGGTGGGAGAGGAGCGAAGGAAAAGGCTGGCATCAGACTGAGAGGCATGGAACCCCAAGGACTGCAGAGTGGCGGCCAGCTTGTTGTGCCACTCGCGAGGAGCCTGCTTGAGGCCATAAACCGGGCGGCGCAGCTCCCAGACTGTGTTGGCAGGGAAGGCTGCATGAAAGCCTGGAGGCCGCCGCAAGAGGACCCGCTCCTGGAGCTCGCGTTGCAGGAAGGCGTTGGAGACATCCATCGAGGCAATCTCCATGCCAATGCGAACAGCATAGTCGAGGATGGCATGGAGAGTTGGGATCTTGGCAGTGGGAGAGAATGTCTCCCAGTAGTCGATGCCATGGGTCTGCGTGAAGCCCTTGGCACAATACCGGGCCTTGTAGACCGGCTTCTCACCCGGCAACTGCTTCACTCGGAACACCCACAGGCCTTCAACAATGACGTCGTCAGGAGAGGGGACAGTGTTAACGAATGAGGCATTGCGGATAAAGGCCTCGCATTCAGCAAAGATAGCCTGGATCCACTTGGCAGCATCGGGGCAAGTGATGGCCTCAAGGAAGTTGGACGGGGTGAATATGGTGGGAGCGGTAGCGATGCCAAGGATGAGGAGGCCAAGGAAGCCCGGGTAGAGAGGCGTGAGGGAAGGTATTTGTTCCTGAACCCGAATGAGCTCCTCATAGGAGTCCTCAATGAAGGGAAGGGAGGGTGGGGGTGGTGTTGGCCAACCCCATGGATGGCCTATGAGTGGGCCATGAGAGCGAGTGTGGATGCGTGGGAGGATGAATGGAGAGGTGGTACAGCGATGCCGATGAGGTTGCTGCTGTGGTTGCTGCTGCCGCTGCTGCTGTGGCTGCTGGTGCTGCTGCTGCTGCTGCTCCTTCTCCAGCTGCTGCTGCTGCTGCTGCACCTCCTGCTGCGTGTGATGTTGCTGCACTGCCTGCGGTTGCTGCTGCTGCTACTGCTGCACCTCCTGCTGCTGCTGCTGCTGCTGTTGCTGCTGCTGCTGCTGCTGCTGCTGCCACTGCTGCTCCATCCGCTGCTGCTGCTGCTGCACCTGCTGCTGCTGCTGCTGCTGCTGCTGCTGCTGCTGCTGCTGCTGCTGCTGCTGCTGCTGGTGCGATGAGGCAGAGTGAGCAGGGGAGTCAGGGACAGCTGGGTCGTAAATGTCACCTGAGGAAGGAGGAGGGGGAGGAGCAGGATTTGGAGGAAGGAGGGGAGCCTGGGGAAGGAGTGGGGGAATGACATCATCAGCCCAGGTGAGGGGGCGGGAGAGAGGAGGAAGTGGGTCCGAAGGCGGAACAGAATGATAGAACGGGATGCTCTCATCGAACACCACGTCACGGCTCTGTAGGAGGCGGCCTGAGGACGGGTGAAGGAAGAGGTAACCAGGGGCAGAGCGAGCATGGCCAAGGTAGACACACTCAATGGCCTTGGAGGCAAGCTTTCCCGCCTGCCTAGAGCGGTCAGGTGGGGGGATGAGGACATATGCCTTGCAACCCCAGATCAAAGAATGGCAGCATCTGGCTTGGTGCTAGCCCAGAGCTCTGTGGGAGTGACGGACTGGCGTTGAGGATGTGGGTAAAGATTAGTAAGGAGAGCAGCATGGACAAGGGCATAGCCCCAAAGAGAAGGGGGCGTGGAGGCATGAGTGAGGAGGCAGCGGGCCGTCTTGGCGATCTCACGAATGCGACTCTCTGCAACACCGTTCTGCTGAGGGGAGTGGGGAAGGGTATGAGTCTGCTGGATGCCATGGGTTGAGCAGTAGGAGGAGAGGGTGCGGTTGAGAAACTCACCACCGCCGTCGGAATGGAGGCGGCGGATGGGGCGACCAAAGTGGACTCGGCACTGCTCGGCCCAGGTAACGATGACAGCAGGGGCCTCGGCCTTTGTGTGGAGAAGGAACACCGAGGAGTACCTGTTGTGGTCATCGACTAGGACAAGCATATACCGGTGCCCTTGGCGGGAAGGGGAAGGGTTAGGGCCCCAGAGGTCCATGCGGACGAGGTCAAAAGGGGCAGCAGCAAAGGAAGGATGACTGAGGTGAGGTTGTTGTTTGAGCTTTCCATGAATGCATGTGGCGCATGGGGGAGCGGAAGAGGACGGGAGGGGAGGAAGAGTGGGGGGAAGACCGTCAAGCAAGCGGGAGGAGACGGCTTTACGAAGTGTGGAAAAGTTCATATGACCAAGGCGATGGTGGATGAGAACAGCGGGGTGGGACAGTGCGCGACAAGAGCATGGGGGGGAGGTGGAGTTGGAGGAAGGTGGCTCTAGAGGGAGGGGAGGGGGGAGAGTGGAGGTGCCTGCACGAGTGGTCACGTGGCATGAGGAGGGGCGCGGTGTGCTGAGGATGTACTGACGAGAGCGAGGGCAAAGTGGGAGGCGATGAAGGAGGCGACGAGTGGAGCCGTGGAGGAGGTCACAGTAGGTGGCAGAGGCGGGGAAGAGGGTAGTGATGCCAGCCTGTTGGAGTTCACGGATGGAGAGCAGGTTATGACGAAGGGAGGGAATGTGGAGACCAGTGACCACTCCGGAGGGGAAGGGGGGGCAGGGGAGGGTGGAGAGATGAGTGCAAGGGATGGAGAAGCTGGAATCAGCGCCATGAACGTTGGTGGGGAAAGGGAGGGAGGTGAGGGTGCCGGCGTCTTTGAGGGCAGTTTTAGTGGCACCACTATCGAGAACAAAGTCAATCGTGAGCGAGGAGGGAGCTGAAGACATGGGGTACTGGAAATTACTGGCATTAAAAACAGAGGAATACATGGAAGCGGAAGCAGGGGAAGAACGCATGAGCTCGCCTAGAAAGCTGGAGTGGGAGGTGGGAGCACTAGGGGAAGGAGAGCCCCAGAGGGGAAAGCCAGGAGGACCTGTTGTGGCTGTGGCAGCCATGGCGGCGGTGCCAAAGCCAAGCTGCTGCTGCTGCCATGCAGATGCTGCGGCTGCGGCTGCAGCCTGACCACCAGAGCCCCACTGCTGCTGCTGCTGCTGCAGCTGCTGGTGCAGTTGCAGCTGCTGGAAGCGGCGAAACTGCTGCAGCTCCTGGGGAGTTATGGGGTCAGCGATAGAGGAGAAGGAGGAGGAGAGCTGAAGATGAGAGGGGAGGAAAGACGGAAGAGTTTTGACATCCTGGAGAGAGGGGCGGGGATCCATGGCAGACCAGCGTGGGGGTGTGCCAGTGTTGCCGCGCTCGAACCAGGCGTCATCATACGCTTTGAAGCAGGTCGTTGGGGGATGGTTGGTTTGGGTGCAGCGCTCACCCGCCCTGGGACCAAAACGGCGAAGATAGGAACATGGGGGGAGAGTGCCAGGGCGGCCACCACGGCCACCAGATGAGCCACCACTGCCACCACCACCACCACTGCTGCCACCCTCGACCCCGCCACCACCGCCGCCAGCTCCGTTGCCCCCACAACCTCCACCTCCACCCCCTCCCTGAGGGTTGGTGCGGCCGCCACGTAGGCGCCCTCCACGACGCGGCTGTGCAACTGCAAGCTGGGGGTTTGGGGACTCGGTGGAGTTCAAGCCGGAGGGGGGTGGTTGAGAGAAGGCGGGCCTCAGCGTCAAGGATCCACTGGACCACAGTGTCAAGGGAGGCACGGGGCTGAGCCTCAGTGAAGGCGATGGCGCGCACTTCATACTGAGGGGAAAGGCCTTCGAGGAGACGGTAGATCTGGAGGTTGGAGGGGAGAGTAGTCTGGCGAGCCTCTAGGCGGGAGGCAAGGTCCAGGAGACGGCTGGTGTAGTCAACGGCGCCAGCACTATTTTCGATCGTGATGCTGAAGTATTCCTTGAAGAGCGGTCCGACAGCGTCGAAGTCAGTGCGTTCGAACATCGCCTCAAGCTCGAGCCAGATCTGGCGGGAGCCGATGCGACGTGCCTGGAAGTTGTGCATGAGCGCAGGCGGGATGGCAAGGAGAAGGGCATTAGTAGCACGGCTGTCCGCCTCGAGCCAAGCGCGACGACGCTCGGCAAATCGCGCAGAGTCAGCGGCATAAGCGGCGGCGGTAGCGGCATGCTGGTTGCGGAGGGTGGCTGACCGCTCGTGTTCCTCCAAAGCGATTAGGAACTCATGATGCTGAGTAACGAAGAGCTGCTCAACCTCAGCGGTGGCAGCGCGAGTGCTGGTGCCAACGGGTACCACGGGGGGCGGAGGTTCCTCGACGGGATGGGGAATGAGAGGGGGGGGATCGCCAGGGTGAGGCGGCGGGTCCCCAAGGTCACCCTCTGGGAGACCAAGCATGATGTCCAGGAGGCGGAACGGCAGGACATATGCACTGCCGAGGACGCGGTGGAGGCTGCCGACGAAGGAATACCAGTTGGTTGCTGAGTTGTCGGCAGCGCGCACCAAATGATCGAGGGTCGAGACGTCGACAGGAGGGGGAAAGGATGCCATTGGTGCCACAGAGTGGGAGGAAGGCGACGGCGGGTGGACCCGCGGTGGCCGGGAGGGAGCGGCGGCGGGTGGACCCATGGCAGCTCAAAGAGGAGGGGAGGATGGGGATGGCTGTAGCTACTGCTGCTGCTCCCACTGCTGCTGCTGCTGCTGCTGCTGCTGCCGCTGCTGCTGCTGCTGCCGCTGCTGCTGCTGCTGCCGCTGCTGCTGCTGCTGCTGCTGCTGCTGCTGCTCCTTCTGCTGCTGCTGCTGCTGCTGCTGTTGCTGCTGCTGCTGCTGCTGCTTCTGCTGCTGCGTCTGCTGCTCCTTCTGGTGCTGCTGCTGCTAGCTGATGGTAGTTAGCTGATGGGGAAAGATGGCAGTTAGCTGATGAAAGTAGGAGTTGGTGGAAATTTCAGTAGCACTTCGTGATCACATCCAGGAAAGTGCGCGAATTTCGGAAAGCGATATTCAACAATCCAAGCGGTGAAACAGTCTGAAATTTTATGACGCTATAGCTGACACCAAGGGCGTACTTTTGCAAGTCGAATCACTCAATTCTGTTATTTAGCGAGTGAGCTATGGCGTTTGGCGCACTGGGGATGTTTGAAAATCCACCCAACAGAAAACTAGTTGTGAAGGGAAAGAGAGGCGGCGGCTAGGAGTCTAGCAGCGGCGATGGAGGGGACGGCAATGAGGTGCACGTCGGAAGGGGACGGGGCGGAAGCGTGGGGAAGGATCGGGATAAAAAGTTGGCGTGAGCCATTATTGCTCTATACCATGTTAGAAACTGAAATGTTGAGTTTCTTGATCAAGCAAAGGGATTACATAGGAAGAGGGAGATGAGCTAGAAAGGGAAGGTTGGAAGGGAAGGGGGGGTTAGGACCAATCACAAGGGAGGGAGGATCCTTCCGAATGTGGTTGACCACAATTGTGGTCCTTGTGTTTGGGGGCTCCAACCACAACTGGGTTGGATTGACACCCCAACACAGGTGTACACCCAACTAGGGATGTAAACACAATATACAAAACTAGCATAGCATGGTATATTCTTATACGTTGAAATTAAAGGGGAGGGGGAATCGAAATTGGGGGCATGGGGGAATTGGAAATAGGGGGTGGGGGGATTGGAAATTGGGGGACAGGAGAATTGAAAATGGGGGGGCAAGGGGAACCGAGACTGGGGAGAAGGGGGGAATCGAAATTGGGGGAGGGAAGGAAATTGGAAGTGACAAGAAGGGTTATTACAAATTGATGGGAGGGGGGAATTCAAATATGAGGGAAAAAACAACCAGGCCCCTAGATTCATTTGGAGGCACGCTGATTAATCATCCCTGGCCCCCTGCTTTTGGCTGAAGTCACAGACTTCCCCCGTTTAAAAACGCTGGACAAACAGAGTTACTCAATAATGTTTTGCTTTTCAAACAGACTTCGAAAAAAAAAAACTCTGAAGTGTAAGGGATTGGCTAATGCGGAAATTTTAGTGAAACACCAATCCCTGTGTGTTTGCGCGTCAGCTTGACGGCACCCCGCACCAGATTACAGGAAAACTAGCGTGACTGGCAGGGGCTGATCATAGTTTGGGTGGGTGTGGGTGGGAGGGACTCGTACTGTAGTTGTCCATGCCACATTTCGTGGTTTGTGAGGGGGGTTGGGAGGAACATGGCTGATTTTTTCATGCGTTGGTTTTGTAGTTTGTTTAGGGGTAGTTTTCAGATGGTATACGATATTTGGGGGGTGAGGAATATCTGGATTCCAGGGGGTATTTGGGGACATGACTGGTTGCGGAAGACTAGGATTGTTTAAAGCCACCAATCTTAACCACTGGGACAAGAAGGGATGTTATCACGAGAGTTAGGCTCCATGTATCCACCTTCCCAGGAGAAAGCCTCCCTAGTACCCTCCCTAGAGAGAGAGGAGGTTCGACACAGCTATCCCAGTGCCACGACAAAAATTATCGGGATTGCGGGGGTTGTGAGAGGGATGCCACTGGTTGCTAAAGAGTGGAACAAATATCGGGATTGGGGGGGGGGTAATTGGAGGTACGTGACTGGTTGTGGAAGACTTAGATTTATCGGGATTGGGGGGGGTGTGAGAGGGATGTGACTGGTTGCGGAATACTGTGACAAAATTATCGGGATTGCGGGGGTATGAGGGATGTGACTGGCTGCGGAGGACTTGACAATTTTTTATGGGTGTGTGTTACTGAAAACTTAAATTGGAGAAGGGGGGGGGGAGGGGGGGCTCTAGCTGTACTCGGTTTCAGAGCCCCACCCTATTGTTTTGCTGATGCAACAGTGTACACTCCTACAAAAACTCTGAAAAAACAGACTTCAACATTTTAAAATAACTCTTCAATCAGCACCCACCTCCAAAAAAAGGCCAGCCAATCAGCATTACCCTATCCCAAAACCCTGAAAAAATGCAGAATCAGCGTAAAAAGTCTGATATCTAGGGGGCTGAAAACAACCAAATGTTGCAAATCATCAGAACCCTGGCGAGTGTGAGTTTCCATACAGGGACTAGTGCTCTCACTCTTATCGAGTACGCGCACATTCTCTGTTCCGCGATACTTCATATAGAAGTCACCCGAGTCAACGTTTGAAGAGTGCAACGAGAGGTTGCAACCAGATTTACAACATGAGGTTACTGAAAGAGGTTTCGTCAGGGGTTTCTTGAAGAGGCTACTTCGTAATAAGCACCTCTCGGGCTGTTAACATTACAAGGATCTCTAAATGATCAGGAGAGAGACCACAGGTTACGTTGGTGAGCCGCGTAGCGCACGACGAACGGCCACAAAAAAATGGGATGCACCGGCATGGACCATAGAGGTGCGGGCCACCTCCATGGTCAAACCGATGTGACGCTCAGCTACCCCATTCTGCTGTGGCGAATCCATAAGTTTAACATCTGGGTGATGCCCTCCGCACGATAGAATTGACCTAGGCTACCGAAGGCGAACTCGCCACCATAGTCGGAGTGAAGACGGAGCACAAGCACGGAGCGCTGGGTGCAGACAATACGGAGCCACGGAAGGAGGGCGTCAGGCACGTCGGCCTTCCGCTCCAAGGGGAAATCCGTGGTGAACCGGGAGAAGTCGTCGACGACAACCAGGAAGTAGTGCACCCTGTGAGGTTCTTGGACGGGGGCGGGGCCCTAGACGTCCACCTCTTCTACTCCGCCCACCCCTCTCCACCCCTCTCTCCCATATGTTCTGCCCACCCCACTGTTCTGCCCTCCCCACAATTCTGCCCTCCCCACTGTTCTGCCCTCCCCACTGTTCTACCCTCCCCCCTATTCTGCCCTTCCCACTGTTCTGTTCTGCCCTCCGGGCTGTTCTGCCCACCCCACTGTTCAGCACACCCCACTGTTCTGCACTCCCCTCTGTTCTGCCTGTTAGAAACAGAAAGGTTCAGTTTATTGATGAAGCAAAGGCATTACATAGGAAGAGAGAGATGAGCTAGGAAGGGAAGGTTGGAAGGGAAGGGGGGGTTAGGACCAATCACAAGGGAGGGAGGATCCTTCCAAATGTGGTTGACCACCAGTTGGAGGTGGTCCAAGTGTGGTGTACCACCAGTGGTTTAGCCAACCCACTTGTGGTGCCCCCACAATTGTGGTCCTTGTGTTTGGGGGCTCCAACCACAATTGGGTTGGATTGATACCCCAACACAGGTGTACACCCAACTAGGGATGTAAACACAATATACACAACTAGCATAGCATGGTATATTCTAACACAACCCCATAGCATGCAAAGCTAGTGTATATGTAGGGTACAACCCCAGAATCAGGAAGGGGGGCGGGGCCCAAGGCCGAGAAGGCGGAGGAGGGCAGAGTGCGCGGTCTTCGGGAGGGCCTTGGTGAAGATGTCGGCCAATTTGGCCTCTGCAGCGATCTTGCGGACCACCAAGTGACCTTGCTGGACCAACTCTCGAACGAAGAAGTAGCGGAGTTCAATGTGCTTGGAGCGGCCATGGAAGACAGGGTCCTTTGTGAGATGGATGGTGCTGGCGTTGTCGCACCAGAGGGTGGGCCAGCGCTGAGGAGCACCGATCTCAGCAAGGAGGAAGGTGAGCCAGCGAGCCTCCTGAGCGGCCATGGTGCAAGCATAGAGCTCAGCCTCGCAGGATGAGAGGGCGATGGAGGAGGAGCGAGTGGAGCGCCAGCTGATGAGGCCGCTGCCAAGGGTGAAGCCGTAGCCTTGAGAGGAACGGCGATCCGGCTGGGAGTCAGCCCAGGAGGAGTCACTGAAGCCAGAGAGGAGGGGAGGAGAAGAGCCTCCGAGGGTGAGGACATAGTCCGTGGTACCACGGAGGTAGCGGAGGACCCGCTTCGCTGCAGCCCAGTGCTCATCAGTGTGGCGACCGGTACCGACGAATCGAGCAAGAACACTGATGGGGTAGGCAAGGTCGGGGCGGGTGCACATCATAGCGTACATCAGCGAGCCGACGAGCTCAGCGTAAGGATGGTCAGAGGAGGAGGGAGCAGGAGGAGGGGCAAGCTGGTGGTCGGTCTGCAGGGGAGTGGTAACCGGCTTGGCCTGCGCCATGTCGAACCGCTGCAAGACTTGGTCGATGTAGAAGGACTGAGAGAGGGTAATGGTGCGCGATGTGCGGTCCCGGGTGATGGTCATGCCCAGATAGTGCTTGAGCTCACCCAGGTCCTTGCACTTGAGGCGCGCATGCAGGGCGTCCTTCACTTGCTGCATGGCGGCAGCATCGTCAGCGAACAGGATCATGTCGTCGACATACACCAGGATGAAGAAGCGGGTGGGAGAGGAGCGAAGGAAAAGGCTGGCATCAGACTGAGAGGCATGGAACCCCAAGGACTGCAGAGTGGCGGCCAGCTTGTTGTGCCACTCGCGAGGAGCCTGCTTGAGGCCATAAACCGGGCGGCGCAGCTCCCAAACTGTGTTGGCAGGGAAGGCTGCATGAAAGCCTGGAGGCCGCCGCAAGAGGACCCGCTCCTGGAGCTCGCGTTGCAGGAAGGCGTTGGAGACATCCATCGAGGCAATCTCCATGCCAATGCGAACAGCATAGTCGAGGATGGCATGGAGAGTTGGGATCTTGGCAGTGGGAGAGAATGTCTCCCAGTAGTCGATGCCATGGGTCTGCGTGAAGCCCTTGGCACAATACCGGGCCTTGTAGACCGGCTTCTCACCCGGCAACTGCTTCACTCGGAACACCCACAGGCCTTCAACAATGACGTCGTCAGGAGAGGGGACAGTGTTAACGAATGAGGCATTGCGGATAAAGGCCTCGCATTCAGCAAAGATAGCCTGGATCCACTTGGCAGCATCGGGGCAAGTGATGGCCTCAAGGAAGTTGGACGGAGTGAATCTGGTAGGAGCGGTAGCGATGCCAAGGATGAGGAGGCCAAGGAAGCCCGGGTAGAGAGGCGTGAGGGAAGGTGTTTGTTGCTGAACGCCAAGGAGCTCCTCATGGGAGTCCTCAATGAAGGGAAGGGAGGGTGGGGGTGGTGTTGGCCAACCCCATGGATGGCCTATGAGTGGGCCGTGAGAGCGAGTGTGGATGCGTGGGAGGATGAACGGAGAGGTGGTGCGGCGATGCCGATGAGGTTGCTGCAGTGGCTGCTGCTGCTGCTGCTGCTGCTGCTGTGGCTGCTGCTGGTGCTGCTGCTGCACCTCCTGCTGCGGCTGCTGTTGCTGCACTGCCTGCGGTTGCTGCTGCTGCTGCTGCTGCTGCTCCATCCGCTGCTGCACCTCCTGCTGCTGCTGCTGCTGTTGCTGCTGCTGCTGCTGCTGCTCCATCCGCTGCTGCTGCTGCACCTGCTGCTGCTGCTGTTGCTGCTGCTGCTGCTGCTCCTTCTGCTGCTGCTGCTGCTGCTGCTGCTGCTGCTGGTGCGATGAGGCAGAGTGAGCAGGGGAGTCAGGGACAGCTGGGTCGTAAATGTCACCTGAGGAAGGAGGAGGGGGAGGAGCAGGATTTGGAGGAAGGAGGGGAGCCTGGGGAAGGAGTGGGGGAATGACAGCATCAGCCCAGGTGAGGGGGCGGGAGAGAGGAGGAAGGGGGTCGGAAGGCGGAACAGAATGATAGAACGGGATGCTCTCATCGAACACCACGTCACGGCTCTGTAGGAGGCGGCCTGAGGACGGGTGAAGGAAGAGGTAACCAGGGGCAGAGCGAGCGTGGCCAAGGTAGACACACTCAATGGCCTTGGAGGCGAGCTTTCCTGCCTGCCGAGAGCGGTCAGGTGGGGGGATGAGGACATATGCCTTGCAACCCCAGATACGGAGAATGGCAGCATCTGGCTTGGTGCTAGCCCAGAGATCAGTGGGAGTGACAGACTGGCGTTGAGGATGTGGGTAAAGATTAGTGAGGAGAGCAGCATGGACAAGGGCATAGCCCCAAAGAGAAGGGGGCGTGGAGGCATGAGTGAGGAGGCAGCGGGCCGTCTTGGTGATCTCACGAATGCGACTCTCAGCAACACCGTTCTGCTGAGGGGAGTGGGGAAGGGTATGAGTCTGCTGGATGCCATGGGTTGAGCAGTAGGAGGAGAGGGTGCGGTTGAGAAACTCACCACCGCCGTCGGAATGGAGGCGGCGGATGGGGCGACCAAAGTGGACTCGGCACTGCTCGGCCCAGGTAACGATGACAGCAGGGGCCTCGGCCTTCATGTGGAGGAGGAACACCGAGGAGTACCTGCTGTGGTCGTCGACTAGGACAAGCATGTACCGGTGCCCTTGGCGGGAAGGGGAAGGGTTAGGGCCCCAGAGGTCCATGCGGACGAGGTCAAAAGGGGCAGCAGCAAAGGAAGGATGACTGAGGTGAGGTTGTTGTTTGAGCTTTCCATGAATGCATGTGGCGCATGGGGGAGCGGAAGAGGACGGGAGGGGAGGAAGAGTGGGGGGAAGACCGTCAAGCAAGCGGGAGGAGACGGCTTTACGAAGTGTGGGAAAGTTCATATGACCAAGGCGGTGGTGGATGAGAACAGCGGGGTGGGACAGTGCGCGACAAGAGCATGGGGAGGAGGTGGAGTTGGAGGAAGGTGGCTCTAGAGGGAGGGGAGGGGGGAGAGTGGAGGTGCCTGCACGAGTGGTCACGTGGCATGAGGAGGGGCGCGGTGTGCTGAGGATGTACTGACGAGAGCGAGGGCAAAGTGGGAGGCGATGAAGGAGGCGGCGAGTGGGGCCGTGGAGGAGGTCACAGTAGGTGGCAGAGGCGGGGAAGAGGGTAGTGATGCCAGCCTGTTGGAGTTCACGAATGGAGAGCAGGTTATGACGAAGGGAGGGAATGTGGAGACCAGTGACCACTCCGGAGGGGAAGGGGGGGCAGGGGAGGGTGGAGAGATGAGTGCAAGGATGGAGAAGCTGGAATCAGCACCATGAACATTAGTGGGGAAAGGGAGGGAGGTGAGGGTGCCGGCGTCTTTGAGGGCAGTTTCAGTGGCACCACTATCGAGAACAAAGTCAATCGTGAGCGAGGAGGGAGCTGAAGACACGGGGTACTGGAAATCACTGGCATTAAAAACAGAGGGATACATGGAAGTGGAAGCAGGGGAAGAACGCATGAGCTCGCCTAGAAAGCTGGAGTGGGAGGCGGGAGCACTAGGGGAAGGAGAGCCCCAGAGGGGAAAGCCAGGAGGACCTGGTGTGGCTGTGGCAGCCATGGCGGCGGTGCCAAAGCCAAGCTGCTGCTGCTGCCATGCAGATGCTGCGGCTGCGGCTCCTGCAGCTGCGGCTGCAGCCTGACCACCAGAGCCCCACTGCTGCTGCTGCTGCAGCAGCTGCAGCTGCTGGAAGCGGCGAAACTGCTGCAGCTCCTTGGGAGTTATGGGGTTAGCGACAGAGGAGGAGGAGGAGGAGAGCTGAAGATGAGAGGGGAGGAAAGACGGAAGAGTTTTGACATCTTGGAGAGAGGGGCGGGGATCCATGGCAGACCAGCGTGGGGGTGTGCCAGTGTTGCCGCGCTCGAACCAGGCGTCATCATACGCCTTGAAGCAGGTCACGGGGGGATGGTTGGTTTGGGTGCAGCGCTCACCCGCCCTGGGACCAAAACGGCGAAGATAGGAACATGGGGGGAGAGTGCCAGGGCGGCCACCACGGCTACCAGATGAGCCACCACTGCCTCCACCACCACCACTGCTGCCACCCTCGACCCCGCCACCACCGCCGCCGGCTCCGCTGCCCCCACAACCGCCACCTCCACCCCCTCCCTGAGGGTTGGTGCGGCCGCCACGTGGGCGCCCGCCACGACGCGGCTGTGTGACTGCAAGCTGGGGGTTTTGGGACTCGGTGGAGTTCAGGCCGGAGGGGGGGGTTGAGAGAAGGCGGGCCTCAGCGTCAATGATCCATTGGACCTTAGTGTCAAGGGAGGCGCGGGGCTGAGCCTCAGTGAAGGCGATGACGCGCACTTCATATTGAGGGGAGAGGCCTTCGAAGAGACGGTAGATCTGAAGGTTGGGTGGGAGAGTAGTCTGGCGAGCCTCAAGGCGGGAGGCAAGGTCCAGGAGACGGCTGGTGTAGTCAACGGCGCCAGCACTATGTTCGATCGTGATGCTGAAGTATTCCTTGAAGAGCGGTCCGACAGCATCGAAGTCGGTGCGTTCGAACATTGCCTCAAGCTCGAGCCAGATCTGGCGGGAGCCGATGCGACGTGCCTGGAAGTTGCGCATGAGCGCAGACGGGATGGCAAGGAGAAGGGCACCAGTAGCACGGCTGTCCGCCTCGAGCCAGGCGCGACGACGCTCAGCAAATCGCGCAGAGTCAGCGGCATAAGCGGCGGCGGTAGCGGCATGCTGGGTGCGGAGGGTTGCCGACCGCTCATGTTCCTCCAACGCGATCAGGTAATCAGTATGGAGCACGAGGAACTCACGATGCTGAGTAAGGAAGAGCTGCTCAACTTCAGCGGTAGCAGCGCGAGTGCTGGTGCCAACGGGTACCATGGGGGGCGGAGGTTCCTCGCCGGGATGGGGAATGAGAGGGGGGGGATCGCTAGGGTGAGGCGGCGGGTCCCCAAGGTCACCCTCTGGGAGACCAAGCATGATGTCCAGGAGGCGGAACGGCAGGACCTAAGCACTGCCGAGGACGCGGTGGAGGCTGCCGACGAAGGAATACCAGTTGGTTGCTGAGTTGTCGGCAGCGCGCACGAGATGATCGAGGGTCGAGACGTCGACGGGAGAGGGAAAGGATGCTATTGGTGACACGGAGTGGGAGGAAGGCGACGGCGGGTGGACCCGCGGTGGCCGGGAGGGAGCGGCGGCGGGTGGACCCGCGGCGGCTCAAAGAGGAGGGGAGGATGGGGATGGCTGTAGATACTGCTGCTGCTGCTGCTGCTGCTACTGCTACTGCTGCTGCTGCTGCTGCTGCTGCTGCTGCTGCTGCTGCTGCTGCTGCTGCTGCTGCTGCTACTGCTGCTGCTCCTTCTGCTGCTGCTGCTGCTGCTGTTGCTGTTGCTGCTGCTGCCGCTGCTGCTGCTGCCACTGCTGCTGCTGCCGCTGTTGCTGCTGCTGCTGCTGCTGCTCCTTCAGCTGCTGCTGCTGCTGCTGCTACTGCTGCGTCTGCTGCTGCTGAGTCTGCTGCTCCTTCTGGTGCTGCTGCTGCTTCTGCTGCAGCAGTAGTAAGGCGGCGATGAGCAGGTGTAGGTGAGGAGGCAAAAGATGGGGAAAGATGGCAGTTAGCTGATGAAAATAGGACTTGGTAGAAATTTCAGTAGCACTTCGTGATCATATCCAGGAAAGTGTGCAAACTTCGGAAAGCGATATCTAACAATCCAAGCGATGAAACAGTCCGAAATTTTACGACGTTGTAGCTGACACCAAGAGCGTTTTTTTGCAAGTCGAATCACTCAATTCTGTCAACTATCGAGCGAGCTATGGTGTTTGGCGCATTGGGGGTTTTTAAAAATCCACCCAACAGAAAACTAGTTGAGAGGCGGCGGCTAGGAGTCTAGCAGCGGCGATGGAGGGGATGGCAATGAGGTGCACGTCGGAAGGGGACGGGGCGGAAGCGTGGGGAAGGATCGGGATTTAAAAGTTGGCGTGAGCCATTATTGCTCTATACCACGTTAGAAACAGAAAGGTTCAGTTTATTGATGAAGCAAAGGCATTACATAGGAAGAGAGAGATGAGCTAGGAAGGGAAGGTTGGAAGGGAAGGGGGGGTTAGGACCAATCACAAGGGAGGGAGGATCCTTCCAAATGTGGTTGACCACCAGTTGGAGGTGGTCCAAGTGTGGTGTACCACCAGTGGTTTAGCCAACCCACTTGTGGTGCCCCCACAATTGTGGTCCTTGTGTTTGGGGGCTCCAATCACAATTGGGTTGGATTGACACCCCAACACAGGTGTACACCCAACTAGGGATGTAAACACAATATACACAACTAGCATAGCATGGTATATTCTAACACTGCCCTCCCGACTGTTCTGCCCACCCCACTGTTCTGCCCACCCCACTGCTCTGCCCACCCCACTGTTCTGCCCACCCCACTGTTCTGCCCACCGTACTGTTCCACCCTCCCACAGTTTTGCCTTCCCACTTTTCTGCCCTCATCCCTGTTCTATCCTCCGAAATGTTCTGCCCTGCCACTGTGTTGCCTAAACCCACTGTTCCGCCCTCCCCACTGTTCTCTATCATTGCCCATTTCCCTCTATCAATCATCCTTTTGTTGCCTACACCTCTCCCTCCCCCATGGCCCACCTCTCCCTTTCTCTCCCTTCCCAACTCTCACCCTGTGCCCACCTCTCTCTCCCTCTCTACCCATCTCTACCTCGCTGCCCAACCTTCCCTCTCCTCACTGCCCCACTCTCCCTCATTGTCCACCTCTCCAATTCCGCCCACCCCTCTGCCCCCTCTGCCCACCTCTCTCCCACTCTCTATCCAATGGGAGGCCTTTCCATAGTTCGCCATATGTGATCTCCCATCCTCGTGTCCTATGTCCCATGCTCACCCTCCATATGCAATGCTCACCCCTCATCTCCTTTTCCCTCCCCAAAGCTCCCTTGCTCGCCCCCTCTCTCCCTTTCCCTCCCCCCTGTCTCCCATTCTCTCCCGCCCTCTCTCAGCCACGCTTGCATGTCCGCAATAGCCATGGAATTGATGCAGCCGAGTAGGGTGATGATGAAGCAGCCATAGATTGATGGGTTGCTGGTTTTGTGAGCAAAAAAGGCTACACACGAGTTGGAGATAGAGAGATTGTTTGGTGACTCTGCAAATCCCCTGAATCGCTTCTGAGCATGTGGTGAACTTAATTGCGCTCATAAACTTTACTTGGGCACTGAGAAGTATCATTCTCGATTGGGGCTGGGTTCAGAAATCGCAAGCAAATATTTCATATTCCTATGCATTTGTGTCTTAGCAACTCTGCCATAATACCTCTCTGGCCATTACCGCCTCTCAGCTGCTGTGCTACTCCGTTGCAACCCTCCTTTGGTTAGAAAGTTGTCTCCTTCTCCCCATTCCCTTCTCTCCAACGACAGAAAACCTGCCCCTAACTCCGTTCTCCATGGTGGTCCTTGACTCTGTTCACCGCAACACTTGGAACTGTAGGAGAGCATGTACGGACAAAGTAGCTGATGCAGCCGGCGGCATTTGACCCCGGGTTCTGTTCGAGGATATCCCTCGAGCTTGACTGGAGAGGTACCACTGAGAGTGAGGATGTGAGACTTGGTGGCTTGTAGATAGCGGAGGACCCTCTTGGCTGCACACCAATGCGAGACAATGTAGCGTCCGGGGGAGACGTACCGAGAGAGGACACTAACTGGGTAAGCCAAGTCTGGTCGAGTGCACATCATGGCATAGATGAGTGAATCGACTAGCTCAGGGTACGGGTCCTTGCAGGTGTCAGGAGAAGGAACCGGAGGGGCCGTAAGCTGATGCTGTAGTGGGAGAGGTGTCGAGACAGAGTTACTGGAGTCCATGTCGAACCGCTTGAGAAGGTTGTCGATGTAGGACTCCTGGGAGAGGGTGATCATGCAAGCCTGGCGGTCACGAGTGATCTCCATCCCCAGGTAGTTCTTGAGGTCACCAAGATCCTTCATGAGAAGGGCGGAGCTGAGAGCAGGCTGGACAGCTGCCATGTTGGCTGGATCTCTGGCGGCTAGAATGAAGTCGTCGACGTAGACGAGGATGTAGAAGGGCTCGGAGGAGTGACGAACGGAAAGACTGGAATCTGAGGCGAGGGATGAAAGTCAAGTGCGCGGAGGACTTCCTTCACCTTGTTGTGCCACTCACGAGGAGCCTGCTTGAGGCCATACACTGGGCGCTTCAGCTTCCACATAATGTTGGCAGGATAAGTGCCAGGAAGCCTCGATGGGCGTTCCATGTGAACATCCTCCTTGAGCTGGCCTTGGAGAAAGGCGGAGGAGGCGTCCATGGACTTGATCTCGAAGTTGCCGCGAGCGGCTATATCAAGAAGAGCGCGCACAGTCGGGAGCTTGGCCGTGGGCGAGAATGTTTCGAAGAAGTCGAGATACTCCTGGGTGAAACCCCTCGCCACGTATCGTGCCTTGAACAGTGGAGCTTCGCCTGGGAGTTGTTTGACTCGGAAGATCCATTTTCCGCCGACGATATTGACACCGGAAGGGGGAACAACATCGTCAAAGCTGTTGTTGCGAATGAACGCCTCGTTCTCCACATCCATTGCTGCCTTCCACTCCTTCGTATAAGGCCCCGAGAGAGCTTCCTCTTTTGTGCAAGGAGTCGGAATGGTCGGATTCTCAGTGAAGTTGAGGGAAGGGCAGTCAGTAATGTCCGGGAAGATGTGAGAGAGAAATTGGCAGACCGCGTGAAGGTCAAACAGCTCCTCATGCCTGTCCTCCAGAAGTGCATGGGGGGGAATACGGATGGAGGGGACATCACCCCCGGCAGGAGGAGGCGGGGTGACCGAACACCGGATGGAGAAGGCGGCTGGTCCCCAGGCGAGAGGCGGAGCCGATCCCTTGGAACGAGTGCGACTAGAGACCGGAGACGAAGGCGGCTGCGGTGGGACCGGAGGGACTGGGCGCTTCCGGTAGGAGACTGGTGAGCGGGGCTCGACGCGCTGGGAAGGCGGAGAAGGAGGAGGTGCCGCTCCAGAGGATACTGGGGAGGCCGGGTGAGACACGCCGGACGAAGAAGGCCTTGGAGAAGGGGCAGCGGCCGGAGGTGGGGCATCGAAGTCTGCCCATACAATTGTCGGGGGAGGTGGACGAGGCTCGCCTGTGGTCGCAGAATGGAAGGGGCGTGTCTCATCCAAGACGACATCACGGCTGCGAATCAGCTGTCTGGTGATGGGGTTGAGGAATATGTAGTCTTGGGAATCGGAGTTGTGCCCCAGGTACATGCAGGTCTGGGTTTTGGGACCAAGCTTGCCACCTTGCTTCCTGCGCATGTGGGGGCTGCGCAACACATATGCGGTACACCCCCAGACGCGTAGAGAGCGGGCGGAGGGCGTGGCCCCAAGCCAGAGAGCGGTAGGTGTGGTGTCGGGCCAGTGGGGATGCGGATAAAGATTGTAGAGGAGAGCCGCATGGAAGAGGGCATATCCCCAGAGTGACCGTGGTGCGTTGGCGTGACTGAGGAGGCAGCGAGCAATTTGAACCAAGGTGTGGTTGCGGCTCTCTGCAATGCCGTTCTGCTGCAGGCTTTCAGGGAGCGTGAAGGTTTGCCGAATCCCTTGGGCCGCACAGAAGTTAGAGAGTTTGCCATCGCGAAATTCTCCCCGCCATCAGAATGGAGGCACTTCAGAGGAGTGCCGAACGTCACTTGAGCCTGGCACACCCATGCTGTGATAACGTCAGGTGCCTCCGCCTTGGTGTGCAGGAGGTGCACGGAAACATACCGCGAGTGGTCATCGACTAGTGTAAGAAAGTATCGATGACCGCCACGGGATGCGACTGGAGCTGGGCCCCAGACATCCATGTGCACTAGGTCCAGCGGAGCAGCTGCGACAGATGGGGAGGAAGGGTGCGGCTGCTGCCTGAGCTTACTCTTGGTGCAGTCAAGGCAGGTGGGTGCAGGTGAGTCAGTTGGTGGAGGAAGCGCCGACGGGAGGCCAAGAAGAAGTTTCTTGGAAGCGATGTCGACAAGGGTACGGGATTTGGGGTGACCCAAGCGATGATGGTAGAGGATGGTTCTGTTGGAAGGTGGGGATGGAAGGGAAGGATGAAAGGGAAGGACCCTGGAGGCCCATGGTCAAGAACATGACAAGAATCAAAGTCTGGACTCCCCTATCCTCAGGGTCAACCAGCCTGGCAAGACAAAATTCACACTGTGCCAGGTTGGCCTCCAACCCCCAAATGCTGCAGCTGCAAGGTGAGGACAAAAGTCCCACACATGCTGGTCCCTCCTCGTTATAGGGCTCTCCAACTTTGGTGTAGCAGCTGCCAAGGACTTCCAATGAGCTGTAACAAATCCATCAAACATTTCATCGTAACTTCTTCATATGTGCTCCGATTCCAACAATTCTTGGCTCGTTGAAATGTGCTCGATGTCATGCACAATCCAAGCACATCTGCACAAGCACAGGATAAATATGCAAAGACATGCAAACCCAACAAACCACACAAACAACGTAGCAGACAAAACACATGCAACAAAATGATGCGAACAGACGACAGGATGACGTGCAAATGAATATGCACCAACACACTCCCCCTTAGACTGTCGGCTTGTTTCGCTGTCTCTAGTTCAAGGACATTCCTGCCATCCTCGCACAGCGCCAGTGTGGCTCTTCAGCTAGCCGCTTGGTAAGGAAGTCGGCTGGCTGTTGCTGAGTTTTCACGTAGATCGGATCCAGCGTCCCAAGCTTCACCTCCTTCTGCAGCCAATGCCACTTGATCCGCATGTGCTTGTTCAACCCATGAAGAACTGCATTGCGTGCCATGGCAATGGCTCCCTGCTGTCACTGAACAGAGGTGTCGCACAAGTCTGTTCATGGCCGATCTCCTTCAAGAGCCTCCTTAGCCAGATGATTTCTTTTGCCGCATGAAACATCGCCATGTACTCAGATTCCACTGAAGATAGTGCCGTCTCAGACTGCTTCTTGGACCTCCAACTTACAGGCCCACCTCCCACCATGCAGATGTATCCACCAACTGATGATGAATCCTCATGCTTAGAAGCCCATGTGGCATCAGCAAAGCAGGAAAGGAACACCTTTCCTTCTCCGAGCTGCTCCCCCTTCTCTTTGAGGACTTCAACTCCTTTTTGCCTGAGTTGAGCAGAGGCTGAATACTGTACTCCCACTGTAGGGTATGACATGAGGTAGCGCACCACTCTCTCCGCTGCACCATACTGCTCTTCTGTTGGATTTTGCACTTCTCGAACCAGCTGTCCCTTAGCAAAGCTGATGTCAGGCCGAGTATGCACAGCAGCGTAGAGTAGGCTCCCGACCATGGATTGGAATTGCCTCTGGTCTTCACTCTCAACTCCTTCTCCTTCAGCTGCCTTTATGAGTTTGAACTCGGAAGGCAAAGGTGTGACCACTGTCTGTTCTTCTTGCAAGAGAGTACTTCTCAGCCAAGGTGTGGATGTACTGTCCCTGATGCAGTTTGAGCCAGGGACGTTCAGTATCCCGCTCAATATGCATTCCCAGGTAGTACCTTGCCTCTCCAAGTGACTTGCACTTGAACTGCTCTGTGAGCTTCCGCTGCCCCCCATCGATCTCCTTGTCACTGGTGCTGAATAGCAGGATGTCATCCACGTACACCAGCAGAAGCACAAGCGACTCCCCCTCGCCCATCAGAAATAGGCTCTCATCGCATGCACTCGCACGGAATCCAATCCCTTCCAGTGCACTGGCCAGCCTGTTGTACCAGCATCTCGGGGCCTGCTTCAAGCCATAGATGGCCTTGTTAAGTTTGCAGACACGACCGGTTCCATCCTCATAGCCAGGTGGTTGAACCATGTACACCTCCACTTCCACAATGCCGTACAGAAAAGCGGTTACGATGTCCATCTGCTTCACCTTCCATTTGCGCACAGCAGCTACCGCCAGCAGCACACGTAGCGTTGGAGACTTAGCAGTTGGGGCAAACACTTCTTTGTAATCTTCCTTCTCTTTTTGTTGAAACCCCTTTGCCACCAGCCTGCTCTTGTAAACTGATGGCTCTCCTTTCTCATCCGTCTTGATTTTTGCCAGCCACTTGCACTGTATTGCCTTCTTCCCATTTGGCAAGTACACCAGGTCCCATGTGTGATTCTCCATCTGGCTGTTGTACTCTGCATCTCTTGAAACGAGCCACTTCCCCCGTTGAGGCCCGGCTAGCACATGATCCATGCTTGGAGGTTGTATTGGTGCGTAAAAGCAGTATGCAGGCTTCTCGTCATCTGACTCTTGGTCATCACCCAAGAACAGCACTGCATCTTCGCCTTGAGCCTGTTCCTGCTGCTCAGTTGTGGCTCCTCCACTTGTGGAGCTCAGCAGCTTTCTTGTTGCCATTCTGGTACGTGCAGGGTAGATGGTTGGATTTACCCATTCTTTCACCTTCACCCAATCCTTTGTCCCCCCACCAATCTGTTTCCTTCGCTTTGGCAAACTTGGTGTTTTGGAAGCCTCTTGCTGCTGCTGTTCCGGATTCTTGACTTCAGCATCAGCTGCAATATCCTCATTGCTTCCTTCATCAGTACCGCTTGCCGTTGGCGCAGTGAATTCGCTGTCCTCAGGTTCGGACAGATCGAAGTGCATAGTGATCTCTTCCAGCTGCTGAGTGAACCTTGCCTCCGTCTGCTTCTCCCACTTGCCATACATGATGTTCTCCACAAATTTGACATCCCGACAGTCAAACAGCACATTCTTTGAGGGCTCCCAGAGTAGCCACCCCTTGCTCTCTGCCGCAAGCCCAAGGTGCACACACCACAGTGCAGATGCTCCAAGCTTTGTCCTGTACGGTTTAGGGACATGCGCCACTGCCATGCATCCGAACACTCTAAGCATGTCCACTGGAGGCTTCTTTCCAAGCCACCTCTCCAGCGGCACCCACATATCATCAGCCACCTTTGTGAGTACGCGGTTCCTTGCCACTTTAGCATGCCTCACCGCATGAGGCCACATGGAGTTCCCCAGCCCTGATTCGATCAGCAGCGCTCGCGCAGTTTCCAGGATGGTCCTATTAGCCCTCTCAGCAACGCCATTTGACTGAGGGGTATAGGACGTCGTTAGCTGATGCACAATGCCTTGTTTCTTGAGCCACGCAGTCAGATCTCCTCCTAGAAACTCTCCACCTCGGTCGGTTCTGATGCTCTTGCATGGGTGCCCAGATTGTCGCTCGACGAACGGCAGCCAGTCATCTCGTATTGTTGAGGCAGCATGATCCTTCTGCTTCAACGGGTATGCCCACATCAGCCGACTCCAATCATCAACTATTGTTAGGAAGTATCTTTCCCCCTTTCTTCCATGAACTGGAAAAGGTCCTACCAGGTCCATGTGCACCAGTTCCAGTGCTGCCTTGCTTTTCCCAGCTATGCCGTGAAAGGGGAACCGTGTGAACTTGCTCATTTGGTTGCCCAGAAAGCTTCAGCCCCTTTACTGCTTCTTCCTTATGCAGTTGCTGCAGCAATGGCATAGCCACATGCCCTAGACGCCTATGTGGGGTTTCCCAATCAGTCTCCCCCGACCTTGCAGAAATCGTCACTCCTGCAGCACTAACTGCATTGCACTCACCCTGGACTCCAGATCCCGCCTTTACTGCTCCCAACTCCTTCTTTGTTGATTCCCACATCAGCGCAGGGATGTGCCAGATGGATCTGAAGACATCTCTGCTTTCGTGTAAATCCCATAACACACGATCTCCTCGCAGCCCCTTGAATGTTTTGGATCCATTGGTGGTGGTGCTGACTCCGGCCTGGCCTAGCTTGCGCAGCGAAATCAGATTGGCCTTCAGCCCCGGTACGAGTAACACGTCCTTCAGCACAACCAGTCCACCATCAGGTGCTCTGAATGCAGCTCGACCAACTCCAGCGACCTTCACTGCATGTCCGGATGCTGAGCGCACTTCTTGTTGGAGTGACCACCTCTTCCTCTTGCACCAGCGCCACCACGCCCCCGCTGGTTCCAAGTCCCGCGACCACCTTGGCTGTGGTAAGAGCGACCGCGATTGCCACGCCCTCGATCCCTCCATGTCCCTTGCATGGCATTGCCGCTGGTGCTGTCATCACCTCCGCGCAGTGTATAGCGACGAAAATCTTCTTCCAGAATCTTGGTGCGAATCCACTCCAATGTCCATTGACTTTGGTTTTGTGGCAAGCTGAGTCCGCTTATAAATTGCAGCCAAGACTCGGGCAGCAGGCTGAGCATCTTGAGACACTTTGTCTGCTCTGGGTACGTGATGCCTGCAATCGCCAATTTCGCGTAGAGTTCCCTCATCTTGTCCAGTACGGGCTGCACAGGTTCATTCTCGCTCAACCGCAGCATGGACAGCTCCCGATCCAGCATGAGAGAAGCGGCAACCGATGTCGGAGCGTGCAGGTCCTTGAGCACTGCCCATGCCTTGGGCCCACAATCAGTTTTCGGTAGCAGATGCATGATGTGATGCCTTTGGTTCAGCTCCAAGCTTTGTGATTGTAGATAATACCCAGCAGATGAACGTTCATCCCAGTCCGCTTGCTCTGCCATTTCCTTTGGCCTGGGCTCAAGAGCTTCAATCATGAGTTTCAATCATGAGCTTCAAGAGGCCAATTTGTCGAAAGTAGAGCTGCATCTTCCATGCCCAATCATCATAGCCATCTCCAGAGAACTTCTCAATGGTGAAGTTCTTCAGCACCTCCTTAAGCAGTGACCCCTGGCTTGTACGCGCTCCCCTTTGCGCTGCAATGCCAGAATCTTGGGTTGAGCTGCCTTCTTGGACTGAAGTATCACC